CCAGGTCCTGGGGGGTGGCCTCCCCCAGGACAGTGCCCTGGACCATGGCCAGGTGGGTGACCACCAGGTCCTGGAGGATGGCCGCCATGGCAGTGCCCCTGTGGAAAGCCAAATGACCAATGTCAGAATCTGAGGTCAGTGCCAATCTCTCCTATAATCAACTCCTCTTCTTTCTACTTCCCCAGGGATTCTGGATTCCTGGGCACTAGCAAGGAGCTGTAGAGGAGGACTGGGTGGTAGGGATGGCCTTGATGAAGCCCCTTGAATACTGAGCAGACAAGAGGGGAGGGACCTAAATTTATTGGTTTCCATTCTTGACCTGAGCTATGATTCCACTTCTTGGACTTTGGTTTATTTTATGTGTAACTAAGAAGCAAAATTATCTCATCTTCCCTGAGGGACCCTTGCAGAGTGATTCTAGAAGCTTTTCCAAGCTAGAACTGCAGGCTTATTGTACTTAGGAGCAAGGGTGAAGCTCAGGGAGGCTGTAGAGGAGCTGAGGGCTAGGGAGAGATAGGAGCTGAGGAGAAGGAGAAAAGCAGCTGGAGGAGGGGCAGTAGACCAAGAGAAGAAAGGAAGATGAAGATGTGCATGTTCTCTACATAGGTAGTGGGTCCTTGTATATGAACAGGACGTATGCTGCATTGACATACATATAACTGTGTTTGGGTACATGTATATAAGTGAGTGCATATACTTGCCTGCTGTGCACATAGATGCATGCATGGAGTATATGGTTGTGTGTTCATGAGAATGGGTGTGTGTGTGAGCCTATGGCATCCCTGAGCAGGGTGCGAGCCCAAGATATCAGGAAGACTAAAAAATAACGTCAAAGTTTTACTCCTCCAAAGTACAGGTATGAAGACACGAAGTGCTGTGAATATACTATGTATACAACCAGAGATATGAAAAATAGTGCTCTATATGTGTAATAAGAACTGTAATGCATTCTGTGTCATATATAAATTTTAAAAAATAAATAAATAAAAATAAAAAATGTTTTACTCCTTAGCCAGAAGACGACTGGAAAAAAGTGTGGTTTAAACTTCTGTCTTGACTACAACTACCTATGAGGCCCTAAGATGAAGGGAATTTCTTTGTTTCTTACCACAGGCCCAGGGAAGGAGAGAGAGACACCATCTTGCTTCTATGCTAGACACTGAGGGTCTGGGCCCCTGTGGAGCAGGGGTGAAGCTATGCCCCTTTCCAGGGCTTCTGTTTCTTAGGGCATGGTAAAAGTTCGGAAGATCAAGGCTCCAGGGCTTTCCTGTGACTATGTTAGAGCAGCTCCTGCTCCATCCAGGCTCAGTGATGCCTGGAAACAGCCACTTCCTACTCCACCTGCTTTTCCTTCTATGGCTCTTTTTTTGTGGTGGGGCCACAAATCCACACCAGGGAACTGGTCTGCTGTGGTAGCTGATGTAGGAGAAGAGGGTGAGGGCAGACCAACTTCCTTTCTTGGCAGAAGCCTGTCTTGGGGGATCTGCAGTGTGGCTGGGGCTTGGGAGCAAGCCATCCATCCAGCAAGGCTGTGGGGGTAGCCAGGAAAGCAGAGCAGGGTAGAACAGGTGGGGAAGCAGCAGGAGAGAGGATGGGCTGCTGGGGCAGGGAGGGGAAGTGAGGAAAGGAGGAGACAGATGGGAAAACAGAGAGAATGCCAAGGAAGGAGGCTGTAGCAGCAGGGGCTGGGTGAACGTGGCAATGCCTCACCCTATGGGACTGCTGCCCAATCCTGCTCCTGACTTTCATTTCTGGAAAGGGGATCTAGGAAGGAAGGTCTGGAGGGCATGGTAGTTGGTAGTGGGGAAGAAAACAGGGAGAGGATTGGGGAACTTTCTTACCTTTGGACCTGTGGGAGGAGAAGAGGAAAAAAAAAAGGAGCAACTTGGGTCATTTGGTTCTGCAGTTAAAAACCCTGTCTTCTCCCTGGCACTGATCTGTTCCCCTCCCCCAACAAGGCTCTTCAGACTTGGTCTTTTGCCTGACAATCATTCCTCCATTCATCCACTCAACCACAGATTCATATTGAAAGTCAATACAAAGTTCCATTGTGAGTCCCTGTGTGCCCCAGACTGGCGGAGTCCTCCCAGGTGGCACAGGGCCAATGAAGAAGCGTGGGTTCGTGTCCACACTCTGTCAGCTATTTGTCCTCCTCGCCTTGGTCAAACATCCTGGCATTAGAGAAATGCTCCACTGTGGCAAACTCTGATTCATCCTCTTCTGCTTCTGCAAGGGCCCCCACCTTAGTTCCCTCACATCTCATTTATCTCACCCAGTCTGTGCGTAGCCCCTCAGAGCTATTTGTTGGCTCCTCCTTATAACTCACATCTGGACCTTTGCTTATTTATGCCTCCTGCTATTTGGAAATCTCTCTAGCTCAACTCTGCCTTGTTTTCCTGCAGGAAATCTACTTTGTAGGTCCAGTGGGCTCATTCAGCAATAGTCACCTGAATGGTCTCCAGTGCTCTGAAGCCCTCCTTTGGAAGGAATCAAAGTACTATTACTTTGTGCCTTTTAGGAGAGCCAGTGGCACAGCTACTGAGAGCTGTGTTCTGGACTCCAGACTGATCGTTCTGTGGTCTCACCCCAAGCAAGACCCTTAATTTCCCTTGGCCTCATGTGTAAAGCACTTGTCTGTTTCCTCCTGAGGTTGAAGATCTAGTGAGATGAAGGATGTGTGAACATGTTTCTTAAACTGTGAAGTGCTCTACAGAATATAAGGGCTTGTTTGCATTTTGGAACCCTACTGCCACCTACACACACACACACGCACTTTTTTTTTTTTTTTTGGCAAGCAGTAGATATGTCTGTCTGATTGGCCCTGCCTTCACCACTCTCCTTCCTT